TCTCTTATAAACAGACGCTCTCCTCGACGCTCTATCGAATGGTAAAAATCGCAGATCTCTATCTTGTTCCTATCAAGAGTTATTCAAAAATTGGCGGCTGGCATTTAAAAAAGATCCGACTGTAGCTGTGTTATTTTTCGACTAGATATTCTATGTCGGTGCTTGAAAGCTAACAGTCATTTTTCTGACGCTTCAAAACTATTCAAATCTAATTCATGAGCTTTCTGACGGTCCCATCGACACAAATAAATATCGTGAACTGCTAACCGCTGATAGCATGCATTTTCAAATTAATCATAAACACAGATATCAATATCATCTATTTCATGTTTTTTTGTACCACCTGTTGAAATATATTCCCTAAAACGATTATCATATTGAGGATTTGGGATACGTCGAAATCTATGTTGTACGAAACTCCAACTTCTTTTACGTTTTCCTGCTAGTGCATCTTTTTCATCGAAATAATCAACAGCACTTTTCATATAATCCAATTAAAATTGTTGGTCTAAATTAATGTCGTCGTCAATAAGTTGATAATCAGTGTCAAATGCCACCTCAAGTTGTTTAAATGTTGGTGTTGTTGGAGCAGGATCTTCAGCATCTGAATCATTTGATTCATCATCAATATCAAGTGTACTTTCGCTTTCAAAAAGATATGAGGTACTGTCGAGAATTTTAATTAAACAGTTGAATAAATTTCGAGCAATTTGTTCATCATCAAAGTAATTAGTGATGGCGGATTGTAATCAAATTTATCGAAAATGAAATTCGATAATAATTTTAATATATTATGTGGGTTAATCATTTCGATAGTCGATATGTAGAAGTGATAGTTAAAATAACAATGTATGAGATATTCGTGTCTTTTTACACCTACTTCTAATAGGAGTCACCTTCTTTAGTGATTCAAAAAAGTCACATCCAAGTGAAAAATTTCAAAACTTGAACTCGATACAATACCAGAGTTTTCTCCTATAGAGTAAGGAAAAATATGTTCTTCTTTTCGAGTGCAGTGTTTTATATGTTTAACACAGAACAGTCATCACAAGAGCTCCACGGAATGCAAAGTCAGGTTCAATGGACGATATGAATCTTAGCGTGAATAATCAATAACGAGATAGATTGGTAATTACGTGTTGTAAGGTTATCGGTTGGGAATGAATATGCTGGCTTTAGCCTCCGAAACTATCGTATGCTAAATGAAAAGTGTGTAAATCTAAACTATCTAATGATGAGAAAACTCACGTAAAAACTGCCTACCGTACTTTGAAATAAATGTACGATAATAATCATATATATATATATATCCAATCCGATCTTTATTGATGAATATCAATAATAATACATATATAGATGATGTTGAAAACGAAGTTGATCAATAATAATAAAGAATAACGATAACAACAGAAAAAACTAATAATGATCAACAATATCAAAAGAAAAACAATAATAACCAACTAACGAGAGGAAAACAAGATCATATATAGAATGTCAAAACAGAAAAAAACAAAAAACGCAATAGAAAAACTAGAATGACGCAATAGAGAAGAGATTATTATGATCTCATGATGATCAATAGGACAATACATATATAACAGGAAAGAAAAAAAACATATATATGTATATGTCGTGCCGAAGTTAAACTTCGGCAATAAATTTTGTCGAAGTTATTTTGCAACATTTAACTAAATACCTTTCATCAACAAGTGAGTATCATCGTGGTGAAGCATACATTGAAACTATTCCTTTCAGCTAAACAATATTCATAACTATATTTATAAATATTTATTTTTGAAGAATGTCAAATCATTTAGAAATAAAGCATTTTGTTTACTAATCTCCTTGAGTTTCCTACTCATTTAGAGTACTTCAAGTGTTCTCAAGGATCGAAAAAGACAAAAAACATTTATGATATAACCAGTGATTAACTTGAATTGATAGTAAATAAAAAATTGACTCATTCGTGAGAAGATGTCAATTTTTTCATCTATCAATTCAAATAAAGACAACATAGACATGAGTTGATGTGTTCATGATTGCCACATTGTATTGCTCATTGTATTCTATTGCAATTAAGCTTCCGTAGTAAAGCTAATTATGAAATCCGAAATGAAAGATAAGTATAATTGAAAATATGAGATTATGTGTCATGGATAATTTCGATAGATGTAAAAGAAGGGTATAAATGAACCAAAAATAGAGTATATTCAAATAATTTATACGTCGCAGTATAGCGTATATATCATCACAACTATAAATTTGCAATATGATTGCTATACCTATTCAATCACCTGTGGTTCTACAAAGACAAAAAACCGGTGAAGCAAGACAGGAAGTAATTTCATCAACGGCAACAGCCAATTCATCTGCAACTACCTGTTCTACAGGAATATCAACTCTAACGACAACCAATAGCATGACAAAATGGAAAAATGATTTCGTTGTGGAATTGTTGAAATTAAAAAATCAATTATTAAATAATCCATTTTTTTCAGTAGAACGTTATAAACAAACAATTGAATTAATAAACAATGCTAAATTAAAAAGTAATGCTCAACGAAGTGATCAAGAAGTATCACTTTTAAAAACATGATGTAATTAATGTTGGTACTCAGCAAAAACTGGTTAAAAACATTAATTCATCAAAAGGTAATTTAAGAAAATATTATGTTACGTCAGACGAAATATTTGACATTATACAAAATGCTCATACTGCAATTGGCCATCGTGGTATTAAATTTACAATGAAAGAGATTAAAAAGAGATATTTCAACATTACAGAAAAACAAATTAAATTATTCCTTTCTGGATGCCATGAATGCAAGGTAAAACGTTCAAAACCAAAAAACTCATCAAAATTAGTTGTTAATCCAATTACTTCAAATGATCTCAACTCACAAGGAGAAGTTGATTTAATTGACATGCAATCTTGCCGAGATGGTCCATACAAATTCATATTGAATTACCAAGATCATTTCACAAAATTTTGCATTTTAAAACCATTAAAAACAAAAACAGCTGCAGAAGTTGCCTACCAGTTATTAGACATATTTAACACGTTTGGGGCACCTGAAATATTATAATCGGACAACGGCCGTGAGTTCGTCGTCAAAGTTATTCAAGAATTAGCAACAATGTGGAAAGACCTTAAGATCGTTCATGGAAGAGCTCGCCATCCACAGTCTCAAGGTTCTGTCGAACGGTGCAACCAAGACGTTAAATTATTGATAGGTATATTAAATTGAAATGAAAGTTATTGTCTATGCACTGTTTTCTAACTTTAGGAACTTGGATTCGTGTAAAATAATTGCAAAAATTGGGCGCAAGGCTTGCGCTTCGTTCAATTTCAAAAAAATTCATGCCATCATCGTGTATTATGAAATAATCCGTGTTATGTATTATTTGGTTATGAACCAAAAATAGGTGTAGCATCCACATCTTTGCTACCATCGATTTTCAACAATTTATTTACAGAGGAAGAATCACAAAAAGAATTAGGTCTACCAACATGTGATACATATGACAGCGATCAATACGAAAGTGATCTAGAATCAGATGAAGATGAAATAGAAGATGTCGATGAATCCAATGTTAATGCAATTAGTTATCAAAATACAGATATGAAACTTGACCAAACCTTGAAACCACTTAATGATCGAATTTTTAAGACTGGTGAAATCCGTCAGGTTGCAAAGAAGGTCAAAAGCGTCAAGCTGATCAATTTTTACAAAGCACAGCTAAGAAACAAAAATTAGCAAATATAAATATTGGTGATAATGTTGTGAGTATTTTATTTCTGCGCTTTCTGCAGTCCTCAACAATATCAATTTTTTCCAGCTGGTTTCAGTACCAGATATTGATCGTGGTCTAACTGATGCTCGAAATGTGTTAGCTGCTACTATGAAAATTAAACATGACAAATATAAATTAGGTACCGAGCAAGGTGTTCTTCACGATTATTATAGTTTTCATCAACTATCCAAAGCACCGCGAACACCAACTTTATAAATAGAAAATGTAAAAGAAGGTGAAACAAAATCTTTGAGAGAAATAGTAAAGCTTCAATGTATAACTGGTGGACAAGGATTATTAAAATGTTCCTGCAAAGGAGCTTGTGCAACTAACAAATGCAAATGCAAACAAGCGAAAGTATTATGCAACTCACGCTGTCATCAATCATTGTCATGCAACAACAAATAGTTTTTCTTTAATGAATGTTCTTTGTGTTCATTCTACATTGTTCTCTTTATTTCTAAATGATTTGACATTCCGCAAAGATAAATATTTATAAATATAGTTATGAATATTGTTTAGCTGAAAGGAATAGTTTCAATGTATTGTTCAACACAATGATACTCACTTGTTGATGAAAGGTATTTAGTTAAATGTTGCAAAATAACTTCGACAAAAATATATTGTCGAAGTCTAACTTCAACAAAATTTATTGCCGAAGTTGTAACTTCGACGAATTGTATTCCCGACGTTTAACTTCAACAAGAAGTGTAACTTCGGCACGACATATATATATAATGTGCTGGACGTAAGCTAGCGTCATAATGCGACATCTGTTGACGCTAACACATGTATAACTGAAAAGAATGCTTTAATTGAGATACACAAAAAAATAATGCCACGGCGAAAGTGGCGCCATCTACTTCGGTACTTGTTTCACTCGTAACTCTCTAACGAAGCAGCATGGGCACGAACCCTTATAGATAATATATACACATGATCACCTCTAGCTATCCACCAAATATGAGTACGAACGGTGCGAATCACTTGGGACTGTTCTCTCGTTAGTGGGTATGACTTTATATGGGGTGAAGCATTTCTGCTTAAATGGAAACGATTTTCACATCGATGGGTCATATTATCCACTGCTGTTTATTTCAGCAAAAGAGCAATTCAAAAATTTGACCCTGTGGCGACCTAGCCCTACCTGTCTACTATACAATAAAAAGCATTTATCACTTCCATATCGAGTCCTTATGAAGAAGAGCTTGCCGGCGTAAACGACATTCTCCAAAAAACCGATTCTGAGAAAAACAAAAAACAAAATTTTTGATGCGGTTAGCCTCTTGAGGATGTGGATATGGATATAGGGGACAAATACATTGGCAATCACACTCACACCCTTATGTCTTTCAGTTTGATCGATCTACTTTACCATTAGTCATAGCTAGAGAGCTGAAACTTTCAGAACTAAAAGATCTTGATAAGTTTTATATGTCATATAAATTTCAGGAGTATTGGTCAAACAAAAGTATGAAACATATCATTAACACTGTATCCTCAGTTATTATGAAACGGTATGTATGATAAAGACCGAAGAAAAAAACATCGAAGCAAAAAATGTCGAAAAATAAATGTCGAAAAATAAATGTCGAAGAAAAAAATGTCGAAAAAAAATTGTCGAC